TGTAAAAGTGCAAATTTCCAGTGATGAATGTCATTATATTGTATACCTGAAATGAACCAATAAAATAAATTTTAAAAAATAAAATACCTAATATAGTTAATGTATGTGAGTAATGAAATTTTCTTTTCTGTATTTTTATTACAGTGTGAGGGGAAAAAAAACCCATACATTTGCATCACACAGTTTCTGTGGCTCCAGACACTGGGGACAGCTTAGCTGGGTGGTTCTGCCCTAGGTCTCTCCTAAGATTTCTTCAAAGAGTTGCCACAGCTATGGCCACCTCAAGGCTCCAGGATTTCATTCCAAGATGGCTTCTCATTCCAAGATGGCTCCTCATTCCAAGATGGCTCCCTCAAACAGCTTGCCTTACAAGCTTACCTCACAACCTTAGCTACTGGCTATCTGTCTGGCTGTTCTTTGTCAGAGAGCCCTGAGAGTCCTCTAGCAATACCACAGTATCCAGAGAAGGTGATCCCAGAGACAAACCTGTCTGGCCTTGGAAGTCTCATACCACCATTTCTTCCACAGGCCACTGGTCACACCAACCTGACCCAGTGTGGAAGGGGACGACAGAACAGTGCGAGTAGCAGGAGGTAGGGACCATGGAGGGCCATCTTGAGGACTGGCTATTGCAGAGAGTCACACTTCTTGGATCCAAAACCCAGGTTTGATGTGGGAAGTGGCTCTCTGGAGATCTCTCTGGGCCTCTGGCTCTCTGTCTATTAAGCCTTAGTATAACAATAATATTTAGTAGTGTCTTGGGACGAGTCAACAAAATAATGCATATGTTATGTCAGGGACATGCCTGGAGTATACAGTCAGTGAGGCATGAGCACTGGGCATTATTTTAGGCCCGGTTACAGGTACAGAAGGGCTTTACACCGTGGAAAGACTGGATCGTTCAGAAGGCTGGCTGTGGCTTTGCTCCTGAGAAAAGGCTGAAAGGGTCACTCTAAAGGGAGGAGACCAGGGAGAGGCATGGAGACAGAGACCGAGACAGAAGCACTGTGATAAATAGAAGGGGACGTGTGTAAGAGCCCTTTGGAAGGCAGCCTCAATTTGTTAGATAAGTAGTGCGTGTCACGCTCCTAACGTGTTTGCAGCTGGTCATAGACCCACCTGCGCCTTCCCTGCCTGGACACATCTCTGTGCTCAGTCTGGTGCTCTGCTTGACGCCCTGCCCTGGCCTGCCCACTCCTAGAGCAGGGGTCTGCAGCCTGTCCCCAGGTCCAGGCAGTAAGCACCTTCGGTTTGAGGGCCCATGAGTCTCTGTCACAATGCAGCTCTGGCCCTGTACCATGAAAGCAGCCAGGGACAATGTGGAAAAGGATAGGTGTGGTCACATTCCAATAAAGCTGCTCACAGAAGCAGGCAGGGGCTGGCTTGGCCCTGTGGGCTGGGTTTGCCCTCCCTGGCTGGGTCGTCCACCTTGAAGGACAATTACTAGTCTTCTTTTCTTAGTCTTTTGTTCATGGCTTTGTTTTTTGTTTTGTTTTTGGAGACAGGGTCTTGCTATGCAGTTCAGGCTGGCCTTGAACTTACTATGTAGCCCAGGCTGGTCTTGAACTCGTGGCATTCCTCCTGCCTCAGCCTCCTAAGTGCTGGTTTACAGGTGTGTACCACCACACCCGGCTGTGGCAAGCACGTTCCATGTTCCTTCCTCCCCGGCCATACAGAAGGGCAGAAGATTAACAAGAAGGATCCTCTGAATTCTTGGTTGACAGGGACTATTTCACGGAATTCTCCCAACAGTTGTGACTGGCATACAGATGACACCGAGGGCTGGGAGTAACATGCCTGTGTGGACCGGCTGGCGAACCACCTCAGGATTGCTCCGGATCTGCGTGATGCCTGCCCCAGCGGAGGCCCCTGGCCCAGCCTCAGCTCATGCAGGAACACCTTCCAGATCAATCCCAAACAAGTTAGGAGCGTTACACACACTGTGTACATTTCAAATCCAAGGTGACTCCCAGAGGGCCCCTAAATTCGCCCTCTTCTCTTTATTACGGTGCTTCCATCTTCATCTTTGTCACTGAGCCTCTCCCCGTCCCCTCCCTTCAGAATGACCCCTCCTGCCCTTTCTCAGGGCCAAAGCCACAGGGAGCAACTGCAGGTCATAGAGCAGGGGAGAGAGGACCCAGCAGTGATTGGAGGGGTGTCATAGTGGTCCCCATTCCTCAGTCTGACGGAAGGCTGTCCTCCTGCAGTAAACATACGACAGATGGGAGGCCCGCAAAGCAGTTGCTATGTGGAATGGGGTGTCTGTCGTCGGTAAGAGGAGCAGCTGGGATTTGTTTCCGTACTTACTGGTGTGGGAGTCACCTCCCCTGAAAGTGTAAGCAATTAAATTTGTACTGACAAAACTCACAGTTGGCTATGCAGCAGCACTTCCCAACGGATGTGTCAGAGACAGCGACGGCTCTGCCAGCAAACCTGGTCTCTCCCATCCATCTCCTGGAACCGCTGCCCTGAATGAACAGCGATGGGTGGCTCTCCATTTCAGGGGTTGTGCAGAATCGGGGTTCCCGCCTGCATCAGGCTGTCCTGGGGGGTGGGAGATGCTGCTCCTCGCAGATTTATTTCAGTGTGAGCCGTGTGTGTGTGAAACTCTGTTAATAACATCTGCTGGAGGACTTCTGTTCTGAGAAATGCCCAAGAAGAGCTGATTCCGGGCTTCCTAAGGAGCTCCAACCCCCCCGGGGAGCTGACTTCCAGGGGGATCAACTTCTATTCGCACAGACGACTGGGTGCAGCTCTCCACATAATCCATGTACATGTTGATTTCTACATCCGCAAGTGGATTCAGCTTGATTAGCAATTTAAATGGAAATTTTCTAAACACACTGAATGGGCTCCTCATTTGCGTTTCTTGTCACTTGTCTGTGGGCTTCCCTTGTGGCCCTGAAAACCTCCGGCTGTGGATCCACGCTGGGGGCCTGGCCCTGTTTGGGGGATCAGTGACCATGACGTCCTAGTACTGGAATCTGAAGGTCGCAGAGGCTTCTGGGGTAGAAAAGGAGATTGTTAAGACCCTCTGCCCAGTCGGTTTCCCTCTGACTCAAGGTGGCCTTTCTGGGTGGAAGTGCCAAGCAAGCTCCTTCCGGCTCCCAGGGTCCCAGCCTGCTAGGCCGGGCTGTGCGTCTCAGTCTCGGTCACCTTGTTTTCTTACGAATCTGCGGAGCTACTCAGTGCTAGGCTGGAAGCCTCTGCTTTCCCTGCCTTGAGTGGAAGCTGTCCGTCATTCTGCACTGGGCAGGGGAGGGCCCGGGACACCAGATCTCCGGATGTCGTGCTCAGAGCCTTGGGTGCTCTCAGGGCCCAGAGCCTAGGCCGAGGCTGCCCCGCCCCGCCGAGACCTCTGTTGTTTCATGAGGGGCGTGGCCCAAACCGGAAGAGCTTTGTGTGCGTTTCCAGGCAGAGGGGACACGCTGCAGACCCCCTGGGGTGTCCACCCTCCTACTGACCTCCCAGCCCCTGCAGCCTGGCCTCCACTGCCCTCCCAGTGACACCAGCCGGGACGGCCTGCGGCGCCAGCCCAGCCGGCGGGCCCACGCCGTCATCAGTCATCCGGGCTCTTGCCCAAATGGGCGGCGCAAGTGGAGTGGCCTGAAGCAGCAGCAGTTTGTCCTCACAGCTGGAGGACGACTCCAGGATCAGGGCAAATGCAGGGTGCTGCCCACCTGAAGGCCCGGGGAGGCGGCTTTGCCCCGGTGCTCCTGGACTTGCTGCGGCTGCATCATCTCATCCCCTCCCGCTCGCCTTCCTCTGTGAAGACCCCAGTCCCTGGGCGAGGCCCATGCTGACCCAGGGTGTCCTTGATCACATCGGCGAACGCCCTGTTCCACAGAAGGCCAAGTTCACCATTCAACCCAGTTCTGCCCCAGATGACTCTGTGCCGAGACCCGGACCCTGGAGGACAGATTCCAGCCCAAATTCCAGAAGGCCCAGAGAGCGGCAAGCAGAGGGATGGGGCAAGAAAGGCCGAAGCCAGGCAGAGCTGAGTGGAGGGAGGCGGATGGGACCAGCCTGAGCCTCCACTCTGTGATCTCCGTCAGAAGTCGCCGAAGAACCAAAGAAGGAGGCCACGCCCACGGGTTCCTTCAGCTCCCTCCTCCTGTTCCAGGTCACGGACGGATTCCCCTGTCCCAACCCTAACCCCACGCCTTATCTACCCTTACCGCCCCATTTCGGGTGCCCAGTGACACCTGTGTTGACTAAGACGGGCCTGGGCTCTGGAGTCCAGAGGTGATAAGACGCCCACAATCCTTCACCCTGGAGGGTGGGGAGGTGTTGCAGGGAAAGTGCTCCTGGAGGCCCAGAGAGGAGGACGGGTGTGGCTGGTGGCCTGGGTGGAGCCCTGGAGTCCAACAGGGATGGAGCTCTGACTTGGGCTCCAGTCAGTGCTGTCCTGGCAGGTCTGTGTGTGCAGGGCCAGCTGGACCCAGGAAGACAGAGCCTTGTCCTCCTAGCGGGCAGCTGGGACCCAGAGGCCCGGGATGCGTGGTCTTCAGTGGAGCTGGTTCCACGTTGGCCCTGCCACTCAGGCAGTGCCTGCCTCAGCAAGTGGCTTAGAGTGATCCAAGGTGAGTTCTTCCCTGGTTTGCAGGGCATTTGTGATTGTGGTCAGGACTGAAGAGTCAGTGCATCCACAGCTCCAGCCATGCCGCCTGGCATAGGGTGACTCTCCTGCACATGAGTGAACCAGATGGATATTGTACTAAAGTCTCCCCCAAACCAAGAATTCCAGAGCTCAGCCTATAGCACCCAATACAATAAAAGAGGTGTTTCCCTGGTCACTGACAATTTCTTCAGTCTGTATTTTTAAGGAGCAAAATGTACACTAAAAATGGGCTTTATTTTTCTTACTGTTCTGTGCATGTTTACCTAGTTACCTTCCATATGGGCTGAAAATAACAAAGCCTTGCTTGTTGGGATTGTTAATGCTGATATATCAACTTCATTGGGCTAAGGCACGCCTACCAGATTAGGGGAGCCTGCCCAGGGGGTGGGTCGTGGATCCATCGCCTTGGATGCTGTATCCGGTCCCTCCCCTTCCTCTCTGGCTCTGTCCGCTGCTCTGTTTCCTGACCCATGAACTGAACAGGCCTTTGCCACCCCTCCTTTACGCCATGCTGTTCCTGCCTTGGAGCCACTGACCATGGATTGAAGACACGATTCTGCTAAACCTCTCCTCCACCAGGTGTGGCTGCTGGGTATTTTGCCCAGCAGTGGGAAAGCTGACTCATACATGTGTGTACATATGTTTATGGAGTCAACAGAACATAATCAGAATTTTCTCCTTGGGTTAAGAAAAATATTAGCACTTCTTTGTCTAAGGCAAATTTCAAGTACATGGACTAAGGAATTTAGACTGTGACTTTATTCTTCAGTAGGAAACAGGCCAGCAGGACATTTAGTAATTTAAAGGTGCTACGGCAGTCACGGTAAACAATGTGGGTTGGCATGGGTTTGGTCAACCTTTAATCTTCATACTCCTCCACCTCAACAGAGGCAAGACCATGTTGATCTCACAAAAGGATGTAGGAGATCAAGTCCATGTGCCTCTGCTGGAGATAAAGATTTTGGCTATAGGACAAGACTTTGAACAGGAATAGGACATAGGAGCTACTGGAAGGTGACAGAGTAAGAATAACTGGTGACTCTGCGACTCCATCCGACAGGTAGGTGGTGCACTCTCCCGAGGGGTGGAGGCAGTCAGAGAACAGACAGGGAAGTAAGTAGTCATCAGCAGTGGTGTAGATGGTGTAGGCTTTAGGAAACAATGGAAAAGTCTGGTCAAATTTAATAATCACAGCTGTTTGGTGGAGGAATTCCCTTTCTGGCAGTTTCTCCTGCAGAAATGCTTGTGGCTGAGGATGAAGATCCTGTTCAAAGCTGCTCAGAGGAGCATTAACTGCACAATGAGCACTTGGAGGTGGGGAGGACTATGCTTCTCCATCATAGACTTAGGGGCAGGAATAAAAACGAAAAGGGAGAGCTGTGTGTGAATGAAATGAATCACAGAATCATACTCATCCTTAGGGAAGCAGAGCTGCTCTGGCTCCTGACTACAGGGGTCCATTAAAGAGGGGCTGGAGAGCTAAGAAGGCAAGAGGGGAACAGGGGAAGCAGCTACACTCTTCCACTAGGCAGACCAGGGAAGGGGTTGGGCTTCTGAGAACCCAGGGGTTTGGAGGACCAGCCCCAGGCCACACCGAGCTGAGCAGGAGGCACTGCTGTGAGTCCCTTCTGCAGGAAGTGCTGGCTGGCTGTGCTGTGCCTCAGGTCTGTGTGTGCTGCCAGGTTTCGAGGTGATAAGGGAAGGGGTGGAGCCAGCAGTGGGCAGTGGGGAGGACCAGGCGAGCCTCCCTCCCTCCTGCTTTCCTGCCTCTCTCTGCACGTGCTGTGGACAGGGGCAGCTGGGGAAGCAGAATCTCGGTTTTCAGAGGTCCAGCCTGGGCAGCAGAGTCCAGAAGGGAATGGAGCACATGAGGGTCCCACGCCAGCATGCACATGAGGGGGCTCTGCGTGACCCCAGACAGGGACCAGCCGGCCCCAGAGTGAGTATAGCAGGAGGCAGAGGAAAGGAAGACGCATTGGCGTTGACACTTCACAGACGTACAGCCTTTTCATTCTTTCTCTCAGCTAATCTGCATGCCTGCCTTCCTTTGCGTTTACAAAAAAGAGCTTTAACATTTTTTACCTGAAAACCCCACATCATTTGACATGGAGAAAGCAGACTCCGGAAGACCAGCCTCCTTAGAAGGATGCAGCGAGAATCTCCCGGTCTGCAGACTGCCTGGCAGAAACCGCCCTTCAGTTCACAGCCCAGGAAATGCAGCCGCAGCAGGTCTGCTGCTGACACAGCTGGCCGCCGTTTCTCCCCTCTCCCTGCCAACTTGAGCTTGCCTGTCTCCCTAAGGCATTCTGATGAACGATTCTGGGGCCATCTTTCCTGGCTCACCCTCCAAGGTGCTTGTGAGGCCCGGTTGCCATGGTAACGGCAGACTGGCAATCAGAGTGAGTGGTCCCCTTGAGAACGCAGCCCCACCAGGGAGGTGAGGCACAGGGGCAGGGCTGGCTCCTCCCTCCCCTGTCAGAGGCACAAACACCACGTCCCCTGCCTGGGGGTCAGATCAGACTTTCTGACTTGGCAGGCTGGGCCTCGCTGCTTCACCGCCATCTCCCTACTGCCCGGAACTGAGTTTTTGCTTGCTTTCATCCTATACTTTACTGATGGTCTCTCTCCCTCCCTCCCTCCCTTTCTCTTTCTCTCCTTCCTTGCAGAGCAAGACTGACTTACCAACCCCCACCTCCAAAACACAGACAGCACCCCTGACCCCTCCCTTTCAGCGTCCGTCCGAGGATTCCTGGGCTCCAGGTGTCGGGCCTGGCTGCCCTGAATCCCAGGTACTGGTGGATCAGATTAGCCTGTGGCGGTGAACCTGAGCATCTCGAGCTCAGTGGGCTCCTCTGACTTGCCTGTGCCTCCCAGGTCCGGAGTGGTGGGGCTGGGGTGCAGGGGTGGGGTCCCTCTGCCTGCGCGTTCCGGCTGTGGTGGCTGAATCCCAGGCACTGGGCTCCCGCCCTCTCTGGTTGCGGAACACACAGCAGGGTCAGGCTGCACATGTTCAACTTCAAGGTCAGTGCCCGGAGGCGGAGGATGACAGCACGCTCCACCCCTGCTGTCCTCAGACACGGCCTTGGCCCTGGGCTGTCAGCTCTGGGTCGCAGGCGCCCTCCCTGTGCCCTGAGGTGAGAGGCTGTGCCCCACTGTTGTGGGTCACACAGCCCCTGGGAAAGCACTGCACCGAGGCGGTGGGAAAAGTCCCCCACAGTTCAACAGACCGCTCCCCTCGCCAAGAGCTGTCAGTCATGTCGGGCGGCTAGTGGGGGAGCGGATAGGAGTGCTGGCTGCGTCATCTGTGTCAAGTCCAAAGCCACCCCGACCCCGGGGCCACAGCAGGGTCTTGGCCTGGCTCGTGAGGTTCAGGAGGACAACGGTCACTCATCCTGCTCTCACCAAGGCCCCACCCTCTGCATGCTACCCCTGCGACAGGGACGCCGGGCACGTCCCAGGTGCCTGCAGCATGAAGGCAGGGGAGTTAGCGTGCACCTCTCACCACGGGACCCACAGCTGGATCCTGGCTCCTCGGATTGGACGGCACTTTGAGGCCAGTGCGTGATGGGGCTGGATCGGGTGTCCCGCCCCAGGCTTGCCTCAGTCCAGGGTGCTGATTAGCAAGGCGCCCCTTCCTCGGGACAGAGGCCAGCACCCGGGGCCGGAAAATGAAGCAATGAAGCACAGCTCCAGTCTTTGACTCTGCAGCAAGCAGCACCGAAATCCCGGGGGCAGCGACAGGATGCAGTGCAGCTGGTGACCCCCAGGGCAGAGTGATGGTGTCCCCAGTGTATCATGCATCCTCTGACAGGGACAAAGCATCTCCCTCCCCGGGGGCTCCCTGTGATGGGAACCTGAGCTCAGTCTGGGCCTCCTGATCCCTTGAGCCTGGCTGAAACCTGTCCAGTCTGGGTGTTCAGCTGCCCTTTGCTTTGCCAAGATCCCCCATAACTGTCTGGCAAACTCCTCCTCCACCTACAGCAGGTGGAGTTGAGCTTCATTTGCATCCAAGAACCTGGCTAGTATCTACTGGGTGGATCACGAGCTGCTGGTTGTTCCAGGCTTTGTGCTTTCTGTCACCCTCATCAGCACCCCTGCCCCCATGGCTGACACCTCCCTGAGGGTCTCAACCTCTCCCCACACCCACAAGGACTCCCCCAGCGCACCACACGGCTCCTTCCCAGGCGGCGAGTGTCTGTTTCTGCTGCTTCCTGTGTTCTCAGGCCCTCCGTTTCCAGGTGTGTGGCCCCTGATCGCTGCACACTGCCCGGAGCCCCTGTCCTGCCCACTTCGTATCTCATCCTCGGAAGGGTCTCACTTCTTGCATGAGAAGGTAACGTGGACAGAGTTTGTGGCAGTCGGGCAAGTGTTCCTTCTGCAGCTTTTCCCAGCTGGGAAAAGTCCAAAGTGCAGTTTGCCCGTGGCCTTCACAACCCCGGAGCTCCTGATACTCACCAGAACGCCTCAACCCCTGCCCAGCCCCTCAGCCTGGGGCCTGTGGATGACTCACTGAACCCTGGACTCAGGAAACAGACACGAAACTACAAAAAAATAAGTAGAGAACAGTTAAGAGGAAGAAAATAGCTGTGCTGATAACAGTCATCAGTTGGGTTTGTGTTTAAAACTATTTTTAGGAAGCTGGGCTCAGTGACGCTCGCCTGCAATTCCAGCACTTGGGAGGCTGAGGCAGGAGTATTTCAGCAAGTTCAAGGCCAGCTTGGACTCCACAGTGAATTCAAGGCCAGCCTGAACTATATAGCGAGACCCTGTCTCCACAATAAAATTATTTTTGGTTAAGAGTCAAATTTCTCAAAGACTAGTAAAGTCAGAACAAGCCTGCCAACTTTTAGACTACTGAAGCATAGTATAGCAAGCCAAACAATATTCATGTTGCAAAAGAAAATGAAAACTAAGACCAAACAATTTCTTAAATGTAGATCAGATTTATTCCTCTTATGATAAATGCACATGAATTAATTAAATTCCTCTCAAAAGGGCAAATTCAGAATATTTTTTTCAGTCTAAAGATATTTTGATAATAAGGCACATATAAAGTATAAATATAAAATGACTCAGAAAAGCTAAAAAATTTTTTAAATAAAGCAAAAGTATATTTGGCAAACATACATGAAATAGAGATGGGAATAAAGATGTTCAAAAAGCAAAAAGAGACAGAGAAAGAGCATTCAATGGTCAAAAGATATAATTTTGTATTAGTAAAAGGTTCTACAGGAAGGAAGGGCTCCCGGTCATGGAACTTTATATCTAAATAAATCAGAAGCCAAACAGGAAAGATTTCAAAAGCACAGGGCAAAATTGTTGGAAACCGGGTTGTGTGGAAGGTTTGTCACAGAACTGCCTCTTTATGGCAAAACAAGTAGAGAGAACATACCTAAGAATATGGTAGACAAAAAAATTTTTGGATAATGGGGCTGGGGATTTAGCTCAATGGTTTCACCGCCTGCTGCGCAAGTGCAAGGACCCGAGTTCGATCCCTGGTACCAAACAAACAAACAAAATCTTATCATAAAAAAGTAATAAAAGAAGTTAAAAAAAACATTTTTTTTGGATAAGAAATGATCTATCTGTGTAGTTACAACTCGAACTCTTCACCTACAAGGAATAAGCAAAGCAGCTTGCTATAGGCTACAAACAGAACTCACTGAACGATCAGAAGCAAACTTGGCAGTTGCAGTCCCCAGTTGCCATGACAGTGTCCTCGTGCATGATAAACCAGTAACAATGACTAAACAAAGCAAAACAGAAACCCACATCTTTAAAAAATTTAAATCCATATACTTTACATTTAGAAAATGCACTCAGCACCTAAGTGTAGCAACATTACTCTTATTTCTATTTTTTCCATCTATATAAACTTTATTTTCATTTTACCATATTTTAAAGGGTAATTCCAATGGGATGGTGCAGTTTGCCTTGAACGAAATATTAATTTGGGGGGAATTAACATTAAAATGATTTTACCATCTGGTGTTAAATACCTTAGTCTATTTTTTAAAGCCTTCTTTCATATCTCTTGGGAAAGTTCTGTAGTTTTCTTCATGTAGGTCACTAAATCTTACAAAGCCAGCACAATACCAATACCGCCTGCTTACTAAGACGATGCAAAAAAGGAAATGCTACACTCATCACATTCACAAATATAGCAGCAAAGAGCCCGAATAGAATCCTATGAAAAAGAGCGAAGTAGTGCATTAAAATCATAGAACGTCTACGCCAGGCGGAGTTTGCCATGGGGATTTTCTCATAGAGAACTATGAACTGGTTGGATTCAGCCACCAACTGGAGCCACTGTCTGAGGATCCCGCCGCAGGACAGTGGGGTTGGAGTCTGTGCCCATCTGTCTGCCCTCTCCCTGCCCGGGGTGGTCGTCTAGGAGGAGCTGGGCACCAGCACACCTGCTGACCCTACCCAGCTGCCCAATGGCCTCACACGGTGAAGAGCACCCTGTGCCCGCTGGCTCCTCCACAACACCTCTGCTTCTGTAACCAGCCCCTCTTCCACCTCTCTTCAGCTGGCTGGGGCCAATTTCAGAGCTGTTGGATCTCAAGAGACAAACGCAATGACTTCCTTTTCTTTGAGCCTTCAGTGTGCTCAAAATTGTAACCACAACCAGTCAGAGTTTGGAAACCTGGTCCAGGAGAAGGAAGGCATTGGAATTCTTGAATCTCAGTTTAGTGTTTCCAGCCCTAGGACCCAGGCAGACTCCCTGCTAAGCAAAACCCCAGACTGCTGGAGGCTGGGGATTGAGGGGCAGCTCTGTCAGAGCAAGTTTGAGTCTGTTCATCAGATTGACATCCCAAGTAAGTAAGGCCCGGGGCTCTTATTAAGGAGGGAGGGCCAGGTCCTTCTTCTTTCATGAGGAACCATGAGTAGAGGTGAGCACGTCTCAAGCCACAGCCCTGTAGGAGAGCATCAAGCCCACGGGGGAGAGCACAGGGCAAATCAGACCCCAAGGGAATGGCTTGGGCTCAGAGAGCAGAGTGAGCCGTATCCACCCACGCTCGAACTCACAAGGGTTGCGGCAGCCTGTGTCTTTGTCCCTCGCCTGGGGATCTTTCACCGAGATTCTTCTCTATTGAAGCCAGCAGGTCTTACGGTGCATAGCAACCCCATAGCAACATTTGTAGAAAGCTCCGTTTGCAGAGTCTGATCACGTAGAGAAGACAATTTCTTTGTACGAGGAATCTGTTTTTCAGGAATCAGGGCGCCAGCCCCTCTTCCTCCTCCTTTTCTTTCTTGGTGCTTCTCTTTTGGGCTCTGATTAAATCTTGCCATCGCCGATATTTTTAAACCTTTCTTTGGCATCTGTTTGTAAGCACTTAGGAGCGCCGGTGGGTGGGAGACATTCCTGGAACCCAGCAAGGCAGATCTGTCTGTCCCCCGATTAGAGTTGCTGGCATTCTGGACCTCCTGGTCAGTCTCCAGGGACGCGTGGCTGAGGACACACCACACTTCCTGCGGCTGCCGCACAGCCATGACACGCGCTTCCCTGCTGTCATAACCACGGCCAGCTGTGGACAAGGAGACAGATCGAAGGTCCCGGAGACATTGCTTGCCAGTGCCCTGCAACATCTATAAAGTACCTCTTCTCTCCTTTTTATTGCCCAATATGTTAACTTATTTTAGGACCCAAACTTATTTTTTTCTATTGCTGAGCTAAAATTGCCCTGTCAATTTGTATGACTCTCCTTTTCTCCCCATTCCTTCCTTATCTTGTGACTGTAGAGTTCAGCTACTGGGTCTCCTTCTTGGAGCCCACCCATGTCATTTAGTTAGAGCCTCTTTGAGGAGCCAGAGAAATATAGAATCTCTCTCAAGGAAAATGACTTTCCATTCTACCGCAGAGCAACGGGGCCCACACAGGTCCCTGCAGGCCGGGTTTTCTCCGTAAGAAGCAGGAGGAGGCTGAGTCTCCACCCCGCCGAGGTGCGGGTAAAGCTTGTGCCCTCCAGCCCACATTAGGGAAGGCTCCCCAAAGCCTCGTGTTTAAGAAGCACTCACACGATCCTCACTCACAGTGAACTTCCACAAGCACTGTCGGCAGCCCAGCTTCTCCCAGCCCCTGAACCAATCTTGCCATTTCTAAAACTGCTCAGATGATTACTCTCAACTCTGTGTCTGCAGGCCTGTACACCGTCTTACCACTCAGACCGGCCACGACCTGTTCTTAACTTGACCATTGCTGCAGAGGAAGAACTTGGATTATCCAGTGTCTCGTCTTCTTTGCATATTCTTCCCCACACCAATGCTTTGATGTTTTTCAACATCAGTTGTTCTTTGTGGAGTTTTTGCTCTTGAAAAGTAATGTGCCACTGGGGCAGTTTCCTTCAGAGCCTTTATATTCAGGCTTGTGTGTCCAAGATAAAAATAAAAGATGACAACTCTCCAAGAGTGCAGAGCTACGGAGGCCTCGGTCTTGTTTTCATTTACATCAGATGCCCTCAGCTCCTAAAGCACCTCCATTGTGCTGCAAAAAGTGGTATTTGCATGGTAGTATGTTGCCTTGGAAAATCTGCCCAGAGTATTGGTAAACAGAGAAAACACACCAGAGCAGGATTTCTTGGATGTTTTCCTGTTGAACTCCCCAAGTGGCAGAGGAGAATAGACACGGCCTTGGGGATCCGGGAACCAGCCTGAAAGAGCTGCCAGCAGTGGGAATGTCTTTGGAAGCTTTGTGTTTTACCATAAATTTCGTACATAACTGGCATTCCTCAACATAATATACCCATATTTAAGAGTAGGGTGTTTTTCTTCCCAAGTTTTAAAGTAAAATTGATGCTCTCATTTTCACTCAGGCTTTGTATACGTCTAGGCCCACCTCTCACATGTCACTTTAATAAATCTGCCCTTAAATCTTGTACATTGATGTAAACTACAGATTGAGTGAATCTCCCCGAGCTCATAGATTGAAATCTGATCCTTGGTGTGATGTATCAGAAGGTGGAACTTTAGGGTCATGATTTGGTCATGAGGGTGGGGCCCTCATAAATAGAATTAGTGACCTTAGAAGGGCTAAAAAGACCAGAATTTGCTTCTTCTGCCCTGGAAGGTGAGAGAGAGCAGTGCCACCTGTGAACCAGGAAGTGGATCCTCTCCAAACACCACATCTACTAGTGCCTTGCCTTTGGACTTCTAGCTTCCCGGAACTGTGAGGAAAAGTAGTCCGTGGTGCTCTGTTACAGCCTCCTGAATGGATTAAGACATAGTATGTTTCAAAATACAACTTCTCTCCTTACCCCTTCATCAGTGTATCTCTTTCCAGCCAAATTCTGTCCTGAATAGTAATCCAATATCATGGCACCATTTACTACCCTGAAGGTTATTTACACAGCAGGCAGGCCGGAAACACTGGCAGATTTGTTCGGCACAGTTCCGGGTGTGTCTGGATGATGGGGGATGCACTGAGGAGAGAAGACCCCAGCACACCCACACCCTAACAGACGTCTACAACAGGGCCACAGCACTTCTGCACACACACACACACACACACACACACACACACACACACCCCGACGCAGGTGAGCACCTTCCTGTGTACTCCACCATGGACACACTTGAGACCTGAGACGGGAAAGTCTCTCGTGCTCAGTAATTCGTGCCAAGTAAAGTGCTGGGGCAAATAGCTCAAGAAGTAGAAAAGTGAGGCATCTGAGTAAACAAGGTTATCATGCAAAGAATATAAGTTGGCTTCTTACAGTAATACCCCTGCTCATTTCTTCCTCCCATAATGACTTCTCAGAGATTATAGCAGTGCTGTAGGTCTAGTTCAACAATCTAAAGACAAGACTTAAAATGTTCTTTGTTCCAGAAGGTGTTTATTGGAGAAGGACTGCAACAACAACAAACAAAAAAAAAAAAGAGGAAAATCCCTAAAAATCAGAAGAAATGGAGATATCACCAGTTTGACCTTGCAAGAACAGGACACCTTTGGAGAATTTGCTGAGCTTTTTACAACCTTCTCAACTGCCTGTAATGGGGAGGATGATAGAAGTTTGTAGAATGTAAAAAGCAAACAAATGACAATGCCTTCAGATCCTGGGTGGATTCAACTTGCTGACAAAGTTCTTTGGCTTGGGTGTTCATGATGCTGGGGGCAGGCAGTAATGTGTTTCCTGAAGTCATTGTGGAGAGGGCAAGGGTCAATTTGACAGCAGCAAATAAGATCAATACCAGTCAGAATGACAAGTTTGACTATCCTGGCATACACAATTGTTCCCTGAGTGACAATGCCAGATACCATGCATTTTGGTTCATCAAACAATTTCATTAAGAATTTCATTAAAAATTCAAAGTGGGGTCGGGGATTTAGCTCAGCAGTTTCGCTGCCTCCTGCGCAAGCACAAGGACCCAAGTTCCATTCCCGGTACCAAAAAAAAAAAACATTCAAAGTGATCCGGAAGAATGGCTTCTTAGGACAATATCACTTCAACAAGAAGCACTGAGGTCTGAAGGGGAAGAGTGTCTGCTGCCTTTGCATATATTTAACAAAGTAGAGAACATCTCTACTTTGCGTTGATAAAAAGGATCTGTGTATAAATAATTTACTGTCATGCTTACAGCAGATACCTCCTGAGAATGCCATCACTGGACAACCCGTTCCTTGCGTGAACATTGCAGAGTGACTTACAGGCAGCCAATCACACACCTGTTGTCTGTATGGCTGGTCATTGACCAAAACATCTTTACACAATGCACAATTGTACATCATTTAAAAATAAAAGGCTTTTTTGTGCATACATATGATGTTGGCAATTGAACCCAGGACCTTCATACTGAACTACATATTTTGAGATAGCACTGGCTAAGTCATTCAGTTGCCCAGGCTGAACTAAAACATATGATTCTCCTGCCCAAGTCTCTGAGATGCTGAAATCGTAGGCATGTGCCAGCACCTCCAGCTGAAAGGTGTCCTTGCTGTGTAGGAAACTCTGCCCAGGTATGCCTGAGCCATGCATCAATGTAAAAGCTCCAGTTCTTTCTCAGTTCTTGTTCTTGCCCTGGCCGTGGTTGCTTGGGTCTGCCTAGAACAACACAGAATGTGTTTTAAAAAAACGACCCACTAAGCACCCAACTTTCCACCACCCCCAGGACTTCCGTGAGGAAGCTGCTTTTCCACCACTCTCACGCAGGAAAGTGTTAATGCCACGTAGATTAAATGTCATTAGGAAAGATCGTTTGCATTCCCACAGCAGAAGGGAGACGTCTTCATTTTTAAATAATAGCACAAGATCCCTCCAGATCCCGGGCAGTGTTCAGTGTGGTTTTCTAGGTCAGGGTCGGCCTCGGAGAGCCATTTCAAAGTCTGACAAGAGCTTGGGGCCTGGGCAGCGTCGCACCGTCCTGAAAGGTGGAAGGTTTCTGCGGAGCCAAATGTCTTCGCCGCTTCCACCTCCACGGGAAGCAGGTCTCAATGCTAACGTTTCCTTTCACCTGGGCGGCCTGACCTTGAGGCAGCAGCTGAGCAGCTCAGGAGGAGAAAGATGCTGGTGCTGCCCGTAAACCCGGCCCAGACATGCTTCCCCGGCCTGTACCCAGCTGTGTGGAAGGCTGCTTTTATGGATCTCAGGCCTCTGAGCATGAATCGCTTATTCATGGATATGCGACACTTGCCAGCGTGGTAATTCATCCTCTGGACACTTGTTATATTTATTTTTCTTTTTTCTACAATGCAGCACAAAATTTAGGGCTTCTGAAATCTATGTATCTATGCAGGCAATTTTTCTTTTTCTGTATGCATTCATTAGCTAAGTGGAGTTTCATGGATTTTTTGTGATGAAAATAATATTTTCATGCACATAGAAAACAAATCCAAATAGCACGAAGGGTTTACAATGACCCATGAGTCTCCTTTCCTCATATTCAGTTTCATTTCCCAGAGATGACCGCCACCCATGGTTTCCAATATATTTCTTGGAAAATTCTCATGCACATCACATATCCCATATCTCTCTCTGTGTAACACACGTGCACCCACAGGCAGGTGTATGTATGCACAAATGCACATCTACTAATGCATACAGACATAAACGTGTGTAGACACACAAATATATACACACCGGGAACATTTGTGTGTTATGCTTTCTGAATTTATCAAAATCTGGATTACTCCACCCTATCAACATACAGATTCATCTTGTTCTCTTTAAATAGTTCTGCAAATTTTAATTGCATGGGTGTATCTGAGATGAGTGAATAATATTTCTACAAACGAACATTTCCATTTCCTGCCAGCACAAACAAGTTTTTAGGAAAGATCCCTGTCTATAGCCAATTTTTTGGCAACATGGCTTCATGCTTTTTTTTTTTTGGTGCCGGAGATCGAACTCGGGACCTTGTGCTTGCAGGGCAGGCGGGGGAACCACTGAGCTAAATCCCCGGCCCTGGCTTCATGCTTTTCATCCTGGTTTCTTGAATCAGTAATTTGCCCCACTGTCCAGCCCAATTTTCATATTTGAACTTAAGAATTTTGGGGCAAGGAAAAACCTAGGATCGTTGTTATTTTCATTATTCTGCCTGCTTAGTACTACGGAAAACCGTTAACAGTGACATCAGGGTTTACATCTAGATGCCCCCCAAGAACCTCCTGCACTGCTAGGCGGAGCCTTCAGAAGGTGACTGCATCCTGACAACATTACAGCTGACTTGCTATGCAGAGGCGGGGCCTGGTGGAAGAGGCATCACGGCAGGCGTGGCCTGGGTGGCTTCTCTCCCTTCCCAGCTCCTCCCCTGACTCTTGGCTCCCTGTTCACCATGCCATGAGCAGCTCTCCCCCAGCCAGGCCCTTCTACCATCCCATCCTGCTTTGCAGCTGGCCAACTATGGACTAAAACCCCCACAAACTGTAAGCCACAACAACCCTCTCCTCCTTTAAATTGTAGGTGTTGGGTATTGTGTCCCAGCAAGGAGGAAATTAACTAACAAATGACATGGTCCACAAAATTTAAAGATACTCTATACACAAGCTAGAACTTCATAAGAAATAAGTAAGCTCTTGGTATCATTGAAATTAAATTTATTCTCTTTCCTTTGCTTTTGTTTTTACCTTTTCCCTCTAGGTCATACCAGGTAGACACACAGCAGGCTTGTTTTCTGGAGTTCCTGTTTCTAGTTGGTCTTGCTTCTTCCGCCTGAGCCTGACCATCAAAAGTGGGCTGAGCTGGGCTGAACCTCGGTCAGCAAGATGCCGCTCAGCAGCTGTCCTGCAGTCAGAGGCCCAGGAGGCTGATGCCAAAGCCCAGCTGGTGTCGGGGTGCAGGCTGGGGAGAATGGAGCAAAGCCAGCCTTCTGAGCAGGATAGTGGGTGAGGCTGCAGGCAGCTGGCAGCCCCCAGAGAGGTGTTCGAGGAATGAGGACCAGGCTTCCGTCTCGGGGGATTCCGGCCCCAGCTGCTCCCAGGACCTGAGGGCCTCTGAGTACAGGGCTGGGTGGCACAGAAGCACTCCATGGTCTGCAGCGGGAACAGCCCAGTAGCTGTGTCCTTCCCTGGGGAAGCCTGGAGTCTCCCTGCAGTCCTTCACCTTAGGTTTCCTGGCTGCCCCGCACTGTCACCCTAACGCATGACCCTCCCCCTCTCTCCCCACCCCTCCTGCCTTTGTCTCTTTGCTCAGGGTTCCAGAGAGGCGTAAGAGTCCTCTGAGATAAGGAACAGCCGCTGACACCTGCAGGCTCCTTAAGCAGAGGTCTCGGCGGGCAGAGACTTCCTCTGCAGTGCATGGACTGCTGCTCCGGGAAGATGTTCTCCCATCAAATGGTACCCTCAGTCCTTCCCTCCTTCCCTTGAAACTCAGTTTCTCTGGAGCGAGAGGCTCAACTGTAAGCAATTAAAGAGCTGGATCCTCCATAAAAATTGTAAAGTCTCTGCCTACAATAAAAATATCAAAAGTAAGAAAAGGAACCAAATTCTTCTCCTTTAGTTTCTGCCCTATCGCCATTTCAACTTCTTCCGGTGCCCTTCTGTGGGTCTCTTCTTTCCTCGGTTCTCATATTGTTGCCTGGAGGACAGTCCCTCCATATTCCATCTGTAGGCCACAAAGCCCGTGCGATGTACCTGTGGCTGCGGCTCAGGCTGAGGTTGGGCTCGACCCTCAGCTCCTTCCCTTCTTACCTCCCTGTGACCGGACAGTGTTGCTTTGTGGACCTGGACAAATGGATGGCAACTCCTCCGTCTTTTTCCAGAACACCTCGGTAAGAGCTGGATTGAAGAAAGCTGCCGCAGCCACAGACCTCAGCCAGATTCACCTCCCTACCCGGGAGGATAAGAGGCCCATCCCACAGAGCTTACCTGCCCAGCTACAGATGAGGGGATCCTGAGGCTGCTCCGGGAAGCACTGCCCCGAACTCACCACGAATGAACTGTTAGGTCCAGGGCAGTCCAGTCTGCCCCCTCTTCCTCAGCTCCCAGGCAGAGGACAGAGGCAAGTACCCCATTCTCCATGCAAAACAGAAGTAAGTATCTGCATTCAATGACATAAATAAAGACAGCTGTCTTTAGAGGAAGAAAAACCAATAAATGTTATTTCAAAGCTCTCACAGTTTAAATGCCAAGAGCCATTTCCAAAGCAGGATCGTCTAGTCCTTGGTTGACTGGATGTAGGGGGAGGCAGAGGGGAAGAAATGCAACAAGCCTGTGTATGGTTAGCACTGGTTAGATGTCCTTGTTGGAAACCAGAGAGGGAGAAGGAAAGAGTGAGGGAGGAGAAAGAGAGAGAGAGACAAACAGACGACCAACGACAGACGACAGACAGACAGATGACAGACAGAAGGCAGGCAGAGATCTCCTGGTTTTTAATGGTGATGGAGACTGAGGGATTGTGAGATGCAGATGGGATTAACGGGTGAGGGAGGAGGAGACCACGTCCAGGGCTCAACACAGGACCCCAGCCCTGTGGGCTGCTGACAAGGGAGAAGGCACACGCAGAGTCCGACGGTCACCATCGAGAGGCGAGGGGAGCGGGACTCTGCACACACGCGTTCAGAGGACCTGGTGCTTGGTACTACTCTGACCCTGTGAGCGTCTCTGTTCTGCAGCGTCATCAGCTCGGACCAGAAAAGAGAGGGGAGACAGGGCCAGTTAGCCAGGCCTGCTGAAGAAGAACGGAGGGGCAACAGTGTCCAGGAGGGGCCAGGCGAGAAGGAAGCCAGAGGCCACTGTGTTCCTCCACTGGTCACCTTGACCCCAGGAAGTCATGTTCGGAGACTGAAGGGGAAGGAGCAAGAGAGTGACGGGAATTCTCTGGGCTGCACGCAGCAGCATTAGGTCACAGGCTCACAGTGTAAAGCAGAGGCAGTAAGGTCTAATCTCCAGTGGCCATTGCTGCTGGCAAGCCACCTGAAGTCTCTAGTCAGAAGCGTTGCCGAATTTGCACGGAGGCTCCTCCACCAAAGGCCAACTGTGGCATCAGAAGGAAAGGCGCCAACCCACCCTGTGCTCCTTTGCAGTCATCGAGAGAGCCAGGACCTCACAGAGGCACAAAAGCACATTTGTTCGCCGCTCTCTTGGGTCCGGCCAAGTAGATTTTAATTAAATGAACATAACAGGTGCCCCAACTCACCTGGGCAGGAGGAGGCAGGGAGACCCAGAGGAAGCCAAGTTTCTATCAAACCCTTTTCAGTTCACAGTGCAGCCCTCTGATAGCCTGATGTTTACTGTTACTCATTTTTTCCTCACTGCAGCTATTACAGTAGACATTTAATTAGGGTGATTGAATTGTTAAAGAATCAGAAATAACTTTTGCATACTCAGCCTTTTCTTTCCCCCCAGCTAGAAAGATCTGGCACCAATGAGACCTTCCTGTCATTTTAGTCCTGAGGCAAGTTCCAAAAGCTGGTGCCTTGATACCACTCCCTTAGTACACAACAGTTAAGCATTAGGGAGAGACTGAAAACAATCCTATGTGAGAATTAGATTTGAAAGTAATATTTATGGGAAATGTAATGCCTTCTGAATTTTCATATCTAGTGTATAATGAGCCTGATAATTATTAGTGAAGACTTGAATGACAAAAAAAGTCTTCTGCTATTTTTTCTTCTTTTTTTTTTTTTACCCAAATCAGCAATGATGACATAAAATGCTCAGGCTAGCAATGGTTGGGGAAATGAGAACCTGGAAAACGAGTCTAGCTGCTTCGCAAACATTGGAAATAAGGCATGCTAACTTTTTTTTCACTACAATCGTGAACTTACACGGATAATTGAATCACGGATCCATTTCATCTCCAGGCTTCGCGTGACCGGAAGGAAGCAACCCTCAAATGCCCCAGATCTACCTGTCCTCTGCCCCCGCCCTCGGCCCAGCCCCAGGCCTCCGCAGCACGGGTGTCTCGGTCACCTCCACCTGTCTCAAGCGCCGGAGGCCGGCAATGCTCCAGGACTGGGGACAGTCGCCGTGCGCGGTGGGCACTCTGGAGGCCCACCAGTCCCTCAGACTTCTAGGAATGGAGGGAGGGCTCTTCGTTAAGGAACTGCTCTCCTCCGTAGAGGCCTGCAATCAGGGCCACCCGGCTTCTGGTGGCGCTGGCCTCCTCCTTCTCCACTTCCGGTCCACTCTCCAGTTGTGGCTGCCCTGCCTGCCGCTGGATGAGCTACGGAAACTGGTTCCTCCCCGCCTCTCATCTGGCTGGGCTTTCCGGATTCTGTTTCTGACCTCGTCCATCAATCGTGATTCTTTCCACAGCTTGCTGCTCACACTCCTTCCTACCCTACCTGGCTCCCAGAACCCGGTTCTGGTAAAGAGCCGCTGTTCATAGACAGGACCCAGCGGCCCAAGCTCTGAGCCTACAGGCGCCCGTGGTGCCTGGCCCTTTCCGGGTGTAACAAGTACGGCTGCAGCAAAGCATGCCGGATCCTCCACCCATTCTTGAATTCTGCGAACGGAGTGCGCTGGTAGAGAGCAGAGGCCTCCGCCTGTTGCACGAGAAGCCCGGCAGAGGGAGCTCGTGCACCGGGACAGTTAAACCCGGAACGGAAGCCCGCGCGGCAGGGTAGCTTTGCCCTCAGAACACGCGAATCACGACACACGGGCGTGCAACACAAGGGCACGTGTTCTGATCTTTACCGGGTCCACATTCAGGGCTGGCTGCAGACTCACCTTGCAGTTAACCCTGTCAACCTTACCAAGGCGAAGATAAATCGAGGCACGGTGTTAACTGCTCTCTTCACTAGGAGCGCTGGAAAGCCCTCTGACGGGTGACCTAGCATCTCTAGGCCCTGCGAAGAGGCGGAAGATACTGTCCAAGACTACTGTAACAATCGCAACGGCTGTCAGAGGTGACCTTCCCCTCGAACAGGGCCGGTGGGAAGCGCTGGGGTCCCCACGGGTCCGCCGCCTAGGCGTGGGCTGTGCTGTCCGTGGACGAGGAGGACGCAGGAGTGGGCCTGTCTGACGTGGGAGGGTGGTAAACACCCCTCTCCCTAATTCCTGTGTTTTTCAGTCCAAATCCATATTTGAAGGAAAGTTTCTAGTTGATTCAAATGACATTTTTATGTGTTAGAAGTTAAATTACCAGCTGTAAAATCAACTTATCACCTGGTGAGTGAAATTAGACGGCAGAGCGGCCGCTATTCAATTATGGTGCGCTGCTGTTTAATGACTCTGTTCTGGAAGGCTCTATTAATGTCCATTAATCTGCTTTTTCTGCTGGACAACAGACAGCCCTGATTGCTGCACCCGCCATGGGGCTGTGAAATGGGGGAACACTCAGCCAGAGGCGGTCGGTGGTGATCAGCGCAAGTGGGGTGTTTTACTCAAAACTGCCGTCAGCCCTGGGATCAAGCACGGCCCAACTTGGCCAGAGCCAGTGACACAGTGGGGTCCTGCGGTGAGGTCATCGGAGGGAGGCCGAGGCAGCCAGGCTGGGTGGTCCCTTTCCGAGGGCCCAGGCCATACAGCAGAGGCCGGTTCTGGACAAGTCCCCAGCCTCAGCCGGGCCTGCCACAGAGAGGAAAGAGGGAGCCAGGGTAAACATGCGGGGAGGATGGGTGTTCATGGGGGCGGCCTCGCGGGCAGGCAAGACAGTCACTGGCTCCAAAAACACAAACCCTGTCTGCCCGCAGTTCCCAGTAGCAGAGGTGACATCACTGCACATCGCACGGAATTCCTCTATTTGTGCTTACTCATTGTCATTTGCCCTTTTGGTAACGGTGCCCTGGTTCTTAGGGAACCACCAAATTTTAGTCTCGGGCTACACCAGTCAGTGTACTGCACCATCCTGAGTAGGACAGTACTACCCAAGGGATGTGTGCTCCAAGATTTGTTGGAGTTATCAGAAAAAAAAAGATATACCTTTTTCCTTCTAGGATTTGAAGGATGTGAGCCCCACAATGCTAGTTGGAAAAGAATCAACACAAAGGAAAATAGAGGAGGAATGGAGAAGACTTGATCTAAAGTCTATTTTTCAGCTCCTGGATCCAGCCATACCTGAAGAGGACATTTATCCTGAACTTTACGGTTGTGTCAGTGAATAAATTTCCATTTTTGTCCAACTCAATTTGAGTTGAATTTCTGCACTTTTGGTTGAATTCAGGTAGCCTACGACTTTGTTCTCCATTAAATTAAAAGAACATGTTGGTAAGTATTGGAGCAAAGGAGAGAGAACACAGGACCTTTGTGCTTGGCATAAATACAGTCAGTCTTCTGTAAACTGCGGGTTTTGTTCAGATTCCACCAGCTGCTAATGGAAAATACTAGAAAAAAGTTTCATCTGTATAAATATGCATCAACACTTTTTTCTTGTCATTGTTGCCTAAATGATACAGTGTAACAACCCCTTCCGTAGCGTCTACATTGTATGAGGTACTAGGAGTAATCCGGAGATGATCTGAAGAAAATGGCAGCATGTGCACAGGCCATGGAAGGGACTTGGGCATCACTAGCAACTCTGGCATCTGGGGGAGGCGTCTCCCAAGCCAGTGATCCCAGGCACCCAGGGAGGACGACACTGCGGGTCTGCACAGAGGTACCCTGCTCATCCCGGCCCCGGCCCCTCCTCAGGTAGGGTGCAGGGATGGCCCAGGGTGCTCTCCAGTGCCCACCTTGCACCCGAAGCCCCTGGATGAGTCTCGATAGTGCGGTGTCTGCCCTGGCCCAGGCCCTCAGGGAATTCTGAAGATGGACGCTTGTTGTTCCCTGGACAGGTGTGGCCTTGCTACATGCTTTGGTACAAATGAAGTCGTATATTTCATCCTAGCTTGTGAACGGGAGGCAGCAAAGAGGAATTATTAAATGATTACAGTAAAAACACCTTGCTATCCGTCCTTCTCAGGATAGTCCCCCTTGCTTCAAACATTCATTCCCACTCCCACTTCCCGCAGCAGCTCTGGAGCCCTCTTTCCTGCCCTCAGCGGCACTGTCGTGGGAGCCTCGATGTCCTGAATTGATTCAAAGTCTTTACTTTTCATGGTCATTTTGACTCTGGGGAAGAGCCAGATGGGATGACAAAGGTGGAGGATGACACACCCTCGTGTTCTTACGAGCGGCCTTTCTATTGGATGGTCCTCGGCAGCTGCAGTCACCACATTTTTTTATCACATCTCCGAAGACACCCACAGAAGAGGGCTTCCGGAACTGCTTCAGAAAGTGGCAGGGACGGTGGGGTGTTTTGGAGCGAGGGCGAGGATTCTGAGGAGATTCGTGGCGATGTGTCTTTCCTTTTTTTGTTTTTGGTACCGGGGATCGAACTCAGGTCCTTGCGCTTGCTCAGCAGGCGACAAAACCACTGAGCTAAATCCCCGGCCCAATGTGTCTTTCACTATAATAAAAATTTTAAAGCTTGAGCCTGGGCTATTTTGTTTCCCTTACGCCTCGTATGAAGCACACACGGACACATGCACACGCACACGTATAGCTTTTCGACCAGGGGTGAGTAATATTTCATTTGGCTCCCGGGGCCCGGAGGCCTGGCCGGGTCGCTGCTGGCTGTGGTGGCCTCGGGCCGGTGCTCGTTACAGGTCAGCAGGGGCAAAGCCACCGCGCCCGGCAGGAGGTGGGGCCGGGGCTCTGCCCGAAGTCCCCGGTGGCCCCGGACACCAGCCCGGCCTCGGGGGCGCGCCCGGAGCAGGCAGCGGCGGGCGGGCGGAGGTGCCGGGAGCCCGAGCTGTCTTCGCGAGAGGAAGCCATCAGTCGGCCGGAGGAGCAGCCGCCCTGGCCGGGGTTCGCGCCGGGCGACCGGCGCCGGAGGGGACAAGGAGGCCTGACGGGGAGTGGCGGGGCGGGGCGTGGGCGGCTTTGTGGGCGGGGAGTGGGCTGGTGGGCGGGGAGTGGGGAGTGGGCGTGTCGAGGCGGCTTGTGGCGGGAGGGGCGGGAGGGGGCGTGGCTGTGGGCGGGGAGGGAGGGGCGGGGCCGGCGCCCTCCGGCCGCTGCAGGCTGCGCGCGGCAGAGAGGTGACTGCACGGACAGCGAGGCGTCCGGTCCGCGCCGGGAGACGCGGCGCTCCAAGGCGCGGCGGGAGGGGAGCAGGAGCCGCAGCGACCGTGACGCCGCCCAAGGCCGGGCCGGAGCCGGAGCCGGAGCCCACAGCCGGGCGCGGCCCGGGAGCCGCCGCGTCCCCGGCCGGAGGGAACAAAGCCGCGGCCGAGGCGCGATGCCCGCCGTGTGACCCGGGCCGCCCGCCGGGCCGCGCCTCGCCGGGAGCCATGGGCAACATCTCCTCCAACATCTCGGCCTTCCAGTCCCTGCACATCGTCATGCTGGGCCTGGACTCGGCCGGCAAGACCACCGTGCTGTACCGGCTCAAGTTCAACGAGTTCGTGAACACCGTGCCCACCATCGGCTTCAACACGGAGAAGATCAAGCTGAGCAACGGCACGGCCAAGGGCATCAGCTGCCACTTCTGGGACGTGGGCGGCCAGGAAAAGCTGCGGCCGCTGTGGAAGTCCTACAGCCGCTGCACAGACGGCATCATCTACGTGGTGGACTCGGTGGACGTGGACCGGCTGGAGGAGGCCAAGACCGAGCTGCACAAGGTGACCAAGTTCGCCGAGAACCAGGGCACGCCGCTGCTGGTCATCGCCAACAAGCAGGACCTGCCCAAGTCGCTGCCGGTGGCCGAGATCGAGAAGCAGCTGGCGCTGCACGAGCTCATCCCGGCCACCACCTACCACGTCCAGCCGGCCTGCGCCATCATCGGCGAGGGCCTCACCGAGGGCATGGACAAGCTGTACGAGATGATCCTCAAGCGCAGGAAGTCCCTCAAGCAGAAGAAGAAGCGGTAATGCGCGGGGCGGCGAGCCGGCCCAGGGTGGACGGACGGACGGACGGGCGGACGGGCGGACGCGCGCGCGGGGACCGGGCGAGAACCCGCGCCCGAACAAAGGCAGCGAACCAAAGCGCTGCTCCGGATTTTTCAAACGCAGCCTCCGCACCACATGCGGAACCGGTGTCCCTGCCGGGTGTGGGGTCGCGGTGGCCAGCGGCGCTCCCACCCCCGCCCGCACCTGCCCGGGGACCTTTTGTCTGCACCCGAGCTTCGGGTGGGCGGGGGCCGGGAGGCGGTGTACGTGCGCGCCCGCCCTCCGGCCCCCGGTGGAAGGAAGGCTCAGGCTGGTGACAGAGACAAAAGCGATTTCCTCCGACTCGGGAGAGGCCTGCAGTTAGGCCGCCCGCCCCCCCCCCGGGGGGGGGTCACCTGTGAGTTACCTGAGGTCTGCGGCCCCCAGAGCCCAGGGTGCCGCCTGGGGCAGGTCGGTATGGGAGGGGTCCTGGGTGGGTGACCGCCCCTTACATTCAGGGGCTGCGGAAGCTGAATAAATTTTATGTCACAGGGCAGGCCCCTGTTGGAATTTCATTTGTCCTGTTCTGGGCCCAAACGAGGAGGTGGTTTGGGCCCTCGGGGACTGCTGGGACCCGGGATGTGCCTCTGGCCTCGGTGGGAGTCGCTGCACGGATACCCTTACCCTAGGGCTTTGTGGTGGCTACGGAAGACCGGTGCTGAGAACTGCTTTGCAGCCTGGAACGAGACCTCTTCCCCACGGCTTGGACCCTGTCCATGTGTAGGTCATTATCACACAAGAAGACCAATAAAAATTAAGAAAAAAATCTGTTGCAGGTGGTGGCAAATGATGCATTTAGTGTCTGCAGAATAGTTAAAGGTGTTTAAAGGGCAAGACTCAGCATAAATGCGGATGGGGTGTATGCGCAGGATAGGGACCTCTGAACTCATACCGTCGGCACTCATACCTAGATTCCATGTGTGGGATCTAAATTCTCTCAGCCTACTGATTGGTTTGGGAGAGCAGGCTGGCCACGGAGCATGCTGAGTTGCGAGACAGGTTTTTGGTTTTTTTGGCAAAGGATGTCTCTTGTAATACTAACCGCGTAGTGCTAGGTTTTCAAACATACTTTAAAAAAACTTTTACAAATGAATACTCACCTTAGAAATAGTCTCCTAAGGAAAACAGACTCCTTTGCTCTGCCCTCTTTCATCCCTTGACACCACAAGTGGCGACATGTTCGGATTTCTAATTTGGCTCACTGTGGCCTATCTAGTTTAAGTATTTCATTCAAAATGTCTCGTTAGAGTATTTGATGTTTTGCACCCAAAACTAAAACCCCACCTCGTAGCAAAAGCCGACCTCATTGCATGGATTTAGAAGGGAAGGGAAAGCAGAAGAATGAAGCCCTGAGTTCATTCTTGTGGGAACTGGCCTCCCAGCCAGCCAGCACTTGGGACAAATGCAGATGAGTGCTGAGATGGAAGAAAGTGTGACGTCACTCTCCCTGGAACTCAGGCACTTCACAGTTTACTTGAAAGAGGCTTCGGAAAATAGAAAGAATGAGAGAAGAATAAAAGACATATTTTTAATAATGTAATTTTAAAAATCCTTTATAATCAGGACTGAGTCTTGGTTTGTGGAATCTGTCATTTGCTCTGAAACACAGTGTCAAAAGGGAAACATGCAACTGACTGATTTTTATTTCCTCTCTGAATTTGTGTTTTCAGGTAGAATTTTGACAGCCCCCTCTCACACGGTTGCACATTTTGTGGCACAGGAGGCCTAGAGAAACTGGACACGGTTATACCTGAGCATGAGAGTTGTCAAATCGCAAGCCCATGCCCATTGTCCATTTCACTGACAATATGAAAACCGGAAACAGAAGTTCTTGCTTCCTGCTTGAAACCCAAATCTTTTTGATTTTTTTTTTTTCTTTTAAGCAGAAATCTAGCAGCCCATCTTCCTTTTCTCTTTTGTCAGTGTATTTGGTACTCCTCTGATGCTGGTCTTTTTGTAGAAACTCAGTAGAGAAAATAGCTACGCAGTGATAAAAAGCCTGCAGGATTTCAGTTTACATATCAACTGCAACTCGCTGACTTCTAAATGGGCTGGTCCCATCATTTGAAGATTCTGTATAGAGTTATTAAAAATACCCATCTTCCTTTATTTTCTTCACATGCAACATTTTCTTAAGCACTTTGACATTTTGGTAGTTCCACCCTATTGAGAGAATAATATATTTATTTTGTGACATTGCAGATGCCAAATACTGTAACCTTCTTGTGCAGACGATACCTTGGTTCCAGGTCACAGTTCAAATCCTGTCGTGCTTCAACGATAATGCGTGATGGTTTTGGTCGGGGTTTTTGTTCTTTTGTTTTTTGGGGTTTTTTTGCATTATCAGTTCTTAAGGATGCAGTCAACTGTTTGTAATTGTGCAGTAAAGTCAAGAGCCCTGTGGTGTTTCAACTAATGGTTAAAGAGTCTCAGTTGCTCTCTGTAATGTTTGACCTAATAAAGAGCCCATTTCACCTCTGACCCAACAGGAAGCATGGAGAAAGTCACCTTGGGAGTCCCCTCTTGTCAGCCACTGATTGGCCACACCTTCTGCCCTTTGGTGATGGAATGGGTTTCACACTAATGGAATGGGTTTCACACGGGAGAAGCTGGCCTCCCCAAGTGAGCTTTAGAAATGTTTTCTGATAGACACGGGAATTGTCTCAGAACAATTAATTCCCTTCACAGTTTCTCTGTTACGGTGTTGGGACTCTGTCCCCCCAGTTCCAGTTTTCTGTTTTACTGCTGTAATTCTCTGTCTCAGTCATTCTTTTGTTTCCATCCCCTTTTATAATGCATATATGATGCTGTGAACAGAAATAAATTATTTATACAGTCAACCTTTTCTGTGGATGGCTTTTTTGTGTTCAGTCTCCTGGCCTCTGCTGCCATGGGGATGATGGACCACAAGATGGTGTTGGGTTTGGTGGGTTCCCAAGAATGGTGGACTTGTGGAAGCTTATGTGGGAGCCTGTGCATCTGAGCTCATCCTCTGTGCCTGGTGCCCTCCCTTGTACCCTCGGGGGGTGGGACACATCCTACAGAAGAATGATCTCAATACCCAGGTTTATTAAAAAGATCCAGACTTGTTAGCCATTTCATGCATGATGTCTGGTTGTAAGAAGCTCAGCTCAGCACTGTGCTGATTGGTGTTAGCAATGACAAACTGCATCGATGGAGCCCACCGGAAGGAAGGAAGCTCGCCATGACTTGAGTGCTCTTCAGCAGGAGATGCGGTGGGACCGGGGCCATCGTGCTCTGTAGATGCACTGAGAAATGGTCCACTTTGTAAAGAAAATGGTGAGGGGCCAGCACAGACAGGGTGCCCAGCAGGTGCAGTGGTGACACCCATGGCACTTGTCAGATGTCAAGCGATAAGCTCATTCCTGGGGGACCCACATGGGGGTGGGGCACGTTGCACTCAGGGCTTACTAAGTGGTGGTCAAGTGGCTTTATGTTGACTGGTTGCAAACTATAAAATAGGCATTATGTAAAATAAGTGATTCCTTAAAATGAAAGTAGAGCCACTGTGGTTCCTCCAGGTCTCTACTGAGATGAGCCGTCGCTTTCACCTTGTAGAAGGATGCTGAAACTGACACACTGGTGAACTTGTTTGTGGTTTGGAAGTTTTTATTTAAAAATGAGCAAGACTCTTGACTATCATTCACATTGCCGCTGGAGCTGGTAGCCAGACAAGGGGACACAAATGGCACTTTACGGCACTAAAACCCCTCAATCTCAAAGAAACACTTAGGGACTATGATGGCACCCTATACGCAAAAATATTGGAAATAAAAGTAAAAATTGAAACCCTTAATTTATGGTGCAACCTAAATTTAACTTAATTAGCAAATTCTTGGGAAGCCAGGTGGTTTTTGAGACTTCAGTGACCATTGTTCATCCTCTTGCCCAGAAAAATGACCACAGATGGCCGCATCACTCTGATCTTGAGCAGCTGAAGAGGCTGATTTTAGTCCTAAGTAATCACCCTGTACTCCTCAGGCTGAACTTTGCCCTCAAGGTTTGAGTTTATATTTGTAGGGTTTCCTCTGATGAGACCGCGCATGTCTTGCTTCACTGTTCTGTGCCTTTACACTCATCTCCAGAGCTTGAAAAAGTCCCATTCCCGACAGTACGACTCGATGTCACAATTACATGGAACAGGGAAGGACAAAATTACAGCCAAAGGGCAGAAGACAAAAGGTTTTAGGTGATTGAAAAAATTAGGAGAACAAATCCTTGATTGCACAGCTCTCTTCTAGTCTGGCTAAAAAGCCTGTCTCCCTTCTGCCCTGCATCCTTCAGAAGGTCAGACGCCTACACCCTGGCATTTCCCTGCCCGGAAGGAAACCTGCCGTGGCCATCACACATGGGCTCATCTTCCCTCTCCTATGGCCACCTCCTGCACGGTGTTCCCTTGTCCTTAAACAGCTCGCTCCTTCCAGTTCCTCCTGGCCCTGGCGAGGGCTGTTTGGGACAGAACTCGCACCAGACGCAGCTGCGCGAACACACTTGCTTTGCAGTGGTGGGTGGGGCTGCCTCCATTTCCCAGAGGAACTTGCAGTTTGAGAGCATCTGGGAAAGGGGTCCCTTACTCCCTCAAGCTGGGGTGAGGGGTTGCGTGGCTCAGCCTTGCCTCTGTTTTCAGAAAGTGAAATCACTGTGTCGGAAGGGTGTGGCGGTGGCCCTGAGGTTCTTCCTGTGAGTGTGACTCTGGGGATGCACTCTGCACAGAGCCTGACACATGGCATGAAAGAATAAGGGACACACGTGCTTTTGAAGTTGTGTTTAGCCTGAGCTTGGGAGGACATGGATCTGGTCGGTGTTAATGGATTAAAATGACGTTGTTAAGCACATCTGGGTCTACACTGCCTGCCTGTCCGTGTTATCATGTGGGTGGCCATAGCAGTTGTGGTCATATGTGCAGCCAGGGCTCTCTGCACTTCCAGAGGAGGAGACCAAGGTGAAGAGAACCTTCCTGGTGGGCCATGGTGGTGCCCAGTGCAAACCTCAGGTCCCTTCCAGGCTGAGGGCTGCCTAGCCTGCTCCTTTTGCACCCAGAAGGGTCTGCAGTGCAAGGAAGCTGGGGCTCCGAGTCCTGGAGGAAGAGGAGGAAGGGCTGGTGTTGCTGGCTGCCATTACTGTCCCTTTGCAGATGACAGGGAGGCCCCTTGCCTTCACCCCTCCTAGAACTGTGGGCAACATGCCTGCCCCACGCTGTGCACCCCAGAGCCTAGGAAAGGATGTCCTGCCTGCATCTGATTCTGCTCTCACCTTGTTCTGGTCCTAGGGTTCCTTTTGTGTGTGGCAGGGCACAGCCTCCCTGTTTCACCTAGGGCACTGTACCCATTGGATGAGCACAGGGGTGTTGGTGGCCCACACCTAGGGAGGCATCCAAACTTTCTGGACCTCAGATCCCTTGACTCCTCCAGGAGGCTGAGGCTCCCTGCCCTGCCAGTCTGCAGTTGTTTTGGAGATGAAATGAGGTCATAGATGGGAAAGCCCTGCCATGGCCAGGCAGCCTGCAAGGCAAGTCTAGACAGGGACACAGCTCCCACCTCCTCAGTGACCGCCTCTTCAGGGCCAGCTCTGTCCACACAGCCTCATTCTTGGTGCTAAGCAGACCCCAGCTCACACGGAGACACCAGAGAGGCTTCCCACGGGGGACACCTCTCTGCCTGTGAGATTCGGAACCTAGAGCTTGCCGTGGGAGTTTCCATTCAAGGACCGCTGGGGAAAATAAGCGCCTTTCCATCAGACGTTTGCAGAATTCTCATTCTTCTAATGGCTCCTTGTGATTGTTTCCATTTCCTTAAACACTAACTTCTCATGCTGTTCATTGCACCTGCCACGGCTCATGAAAATGGAAATAATTTCCATGTATAATTTAAAAGCCATCACGGTAAGGCATGGTAGGTGATGAGAGTTGCAACAGTTTATTTCATAAATATGGGTTTGCATTCTTTGTTACATATAGGAAATTCTGCTTTGCTGTGAGTTTGAAGTGTGCCGGGCTGATGTATTCAGCACAGAAAAAGTACGCTAAAAATAATGCGCAGGGAGGAGTGTGACTCCCATTGTATCTGTCGGGGATGCTCCCCTCAGCAGGGGCTGGGGGAGACTTCTCTGGCCTCATATTTGTCCTGGAGGGCAGTGAACCAGGATTCACCAGCGACTGAGGCACTTGTGCCTCAGCTCAACAAAGATAAAGGTATTAATTCAACCAAGCTCACGATGGTCACCCAGGCGAGCCTTGGAGTAGCGCTAGCAGCGTTACTGCGTGAGATTTAAATTGTCAGAGGGCCAAGGCATCTCTCAGTAACAGTTGCCATCCTGGTTCTGTTTTTGTCATTACTGTTACAGAATCTTTTTTCTTTCAGTACTAAGGATTGAACCTAGGGTCTTCACATGAAACTACATCCTCAGCTCCCACCGCACAGACACACCTTTTTATCATTTGATAAGTCACTAAATTGCCCAGGCTGGACTCAAACTTGAAATCTCTGCCTCAGCCTTCTAGAGTGCTGAGGTCACAGGCCTGTGACACCGCACCCAGTTTATAGCATTTTAAGACTTTTGTCCCTGCCCTGTGCCTCACAGAGGGTGATGAGAAGTCTCTAGAGAGGCCAGCAGCCAGGCCCTTCTCCCTCCTGTGACCCCCCGGGTCCCCTTCATTTTCATCGAGGAGGGGTCTGTGTCACATGCACCCCTGTGTGCTTCTCCCCGTGCCCCGCCCTGAGGACTGAGATGGGGCCCTGCCGCTGATTCTTACCAACACTTCGGGAGTGAAAACAAGCAGCTCCAGGGGAGGACGTCCCCCTCCACACTTCTGCCCCTCCGCAGGCCGAGAGCCATGGATTCCTAGGTGACTGAGATGCAAGGTGGACATGACCTGAGAGCCCGTCACCTCTTGCAGGAGGCTGAGCGCTGGAGTGGCACCCAGCTGTGATGGGTGCTGGACAGAGCCCTTCACTGCTGCACCATGGAGACTTCAGGGTTTGTTTGTCCACATAGCAAAGTGCAGCACTTCTGGCCCTGATGCCTGCCAGCAGCACAGATCTGCCATGCAGGGCAGGCAGCTGGCGCTGCAGAACTGGTGACACTGAGCCTGCACAGGAAAAACCGCCCCGTGTTTCGGGAGTCTGTCCTCAGAGGCCCCTTCCTCATAGTGGCGTGCACCTGCCCAGGGTGCATGCAGCTCTCCCAGGAGCCCTTTGGAGCCAGGGACTGTGTCGCTCCAAGGTCAGCTTCAGGCAAGTGTGGAAGTGCACGTAACTCCCAAGTGTCCAGGCAGGTGCGTGTCCACACCCAGCACAAAGCGGGGCTGGGATTGGTGAAGGAAGGCGCGGTGTCCGTGAGCAGTGGGATCTTCCTCGAGAGCCACACGTGCTCCCTGCATTTGCCAGAACAAGTTGGCTGGGTTAAGACAACACAGACGTGTCCCCCGGAGCCCTGGAAGCTGCGCATCTCGGGTCCAGGTGCCCTGAGAGTCACTTCCTTCTGGAGCCTCCCTGCAGGATCTGTTCTCCGCCTCAGCCTCTGGCGACCTTGGCCTTCCTGGATTTCAAACTGCACCTCTCCAAGCTTTGTCTCCAGCTTCACCTGGCCTTCTCCTCTGCGTGCCTTCAGCTTTTCTCTTATAAGACGTTTGTCACCAGGTGTGTTGGTGTGTGACTCTAGTCCTGGCACTCAGGGAGACTGAGGCAGGAAGCTCGAAAGTTGGAGCCCAGCCTGGGAAGCTTAGTGACTGACTCATCTCAAAATAAAAAACAAGGGGCAGGGCTGTGGTTCAGTGGTTCTGGCGCCTGCCGCGCAAGTGCAAGGTCCTGCGTTCGATCCC